GGGCGCGTTCTGAGCCCGGTCCTTAGAAACCCTTCCCTATAAACCAAAGCCCCCCGGAGTGAGCCTGCTACACCTCCCTGCCCCCCCAAAACGTCTCATAATCACAAAGCGTCGGTCGGTGACTTGAAACGCCCGACGGTGCCGTGGACAGTGGACGGCGAGGAGTCCTCTTCCTAGGGCTGGGACTGTTTAAGTCCCCAATTACGACGCCCACTTCGGCCACTGAAACGTGTTCTTCGCGGGTTTCAAACACGGCTACTTGCCTCCTCCCTCCTGCTTGGCCTTCACGCTCTTAATAAAACATTAAACACCGCTCGCTCCCCAGCACGTCGCGGGGCGCTGCGGTTCCCCGCTTCTCTATATTACGGCCGTCTCTCCCCACCTGCCTGCAGAGGCGAAGGCGCGTGAGGTCCCGTGTCCCGGGAAGGCGGCTGTGATGTCGCCGGGTTCAAAGAGAGAGACAGAGAAGGCTCCTCCGCGCTGTCGAGGCTCCGGCCTGCCTTTTCGATCTGAAAGACCCGTGTGCAACCTGAACACAGCGCTGGAGAGAGCGATTCTCTAAGAAAAAACTCGTTCTTGTTTGGCTCATTAGCCTGCTGGGTTTCGGGGGGTGGGGTGACACACAGGGACCCGTCGCTGGCATTTACTGAGCCTTCCTCTGGGCCAAGCAGCCTTCCGAGTGCTCTGCACCTACGACTGCCTTTCATCTCCTGTCTCCCGGAGATCACGGCTGTGAAGATTAGACGGATTAATAAATAAGAGTGCCACGTGAGTGAGGTATCGTTTTTACGCGCCTCCCCCCCCGCCGCCTCCATTTTATAGATGGGGAGACCGAGGCAGGAAAATTCCAGCAGCTTGCTCCAGGCGAAGCGCCTCATGCGGGGGAGTCAGCAGGACAGCAGTGTCCTGGGGCAGAACCGTGTTCCATCCGGGACCATCCCACCCACGCGCCTGAGTGTTGGGGCCCGCGTCCTCCTCCGCAGTCTACCCTCTGCCTCCCAAGAGAATAACGCGGACAGCGGCCACCTCCACGGCCTCCGGACCTCCTCTCGGTTTCCTATTTCTGGTCTCGAGGGCCCTGGCCCTGGGTAGTGCCCCCGGCACCAGGCATGCTGGGCGAAGGGGAGGGTGGGTGGTCGCCCCCCCGACCCCCTCATCTCTATCTGGGTCACGGATTCTGACTCTGTCATCCCCCCTTCCCCTCCACCCCGGTCCCTCTCGGGCGCTGGAGGAGGCCAGCCACCCACCCGATGAGCCTCGCCTCCCGCTGCCACCGATCCCAGGCACCCACCTGTGCCGGGCCTCCTCCCCGCGCCCCTGGTGCAGCCGGGGGCGACCCTCTCCACCTGTAGGGGTCGGAGACCCCCAACCCAGACTGTGCACACCGCTTTCGTCTCTCTGCGAACGCACCTCACCCCGGCCCCTTCCGTTTGTTTCTCCTGGCTTGGCGCATGTCACCCGACCGCCCGAGTCAGACACGCGGCCACCCCTGATGGTCCCTCCCACCCCTCTAGCCAACATCAGGCTTCCCGCGGGACCCCGGGCCAGTGACTTGCCTTCTCTGTGCTCTGATTTCCCCATGTATAGAATGGGGGATGAGGATGGCGCCCCGAAGGTTGTTAGAGCGCAGACTGAATCCGTGCGAAGCGCTTAGCGATCATTCATTCATTCGCTCATTCATTCATTCATTCAACAATCACTTACTGAAAAGCTGCTCCAGGATCTGTTATCACACGGCCAGTTCCTACCCTGACTTTCACTTGCTGTGTGACCCTGGAGATTCACTTAACCTCTCTGTGCCTCAGCGTGGGGCCGATGCTGCACTCGGCGTTCAGGAAGGGCTCTGAGGGCCTGCTGCCCCTGTGGCTGTCCTTCCTGCGAGGACTCCTGCTGGGGGCTGGCCACGGCCTGGTCCCTGGGGAGTCTGTTCCCTGTGCATAACCCTGCTCCTGCCGTGGCGGGGCCGTGCAGCCTCTCCCGGCCGTGAGTTCACGGCATGTCGTCTTCCGCCCCCTGTGCGTTTGGAGCCTCCCGTGGGATGCCACCCGCCCTGGCTCGCAACGGGAGTGTAAGGAAGATGTGTCCTGAGCAGCCCGTCAGAGCCACGCAGGTCCCTCCCGCAGCCAGGCCCAGGTGCCCTTTCTGTCCCCCCGAGCCCTGGCTGGGTGGCGAGTAGCCAAACGAAGGAAGGAAAGAATGAAGGGGTGTGGAAGGCAGTGTGACCTTGGACATGACCTTCTTTGGGCTTCTATGACTTCTAAGGGCCAGGACGCTGGAAAATCCCTAAACTAGGACAACCGGCAGTTCCGTTAGAAATCCTGCACCCCGCTAACGAGGACCCAGGCAGGGGCGAGGGTCTCGCCGCTTCTAGCTTCTGCGTCTGGGTCGGGCTCCAGCGTCTGGGTCGGGCTCCAGCTCCTCGCCAGCGCGTCCCAGAAGCAGCGAGCTCAGAAAGGTCCCATGCGGCCTCCCGCACTCACCGCGGGCCGAGGGGCCCAGACTGACAGTCCCTCCGCACTCGTGAGCGAGGTGCCTGGCCTCTGGGGTGCGTCTGCACCGAGACGCCTTCTGCACACAGCCGAGGCGCTTACATACTCCAGCGCACCTGTTTGGGGGACGGAACTCTGAAGCCACACACCTGCCGCGGGCCGAGCCGGAGAAGCTGAGTCTCGAGCTGGGCTCTGACGCCCAGCGCTGCTGACACTATTTTTCTCCTACGCTTTTTTTTTTTAATTTCTAGACCTTTTAAAGCTCTATTCCAAACATGTTTTTAATTTTTTCCTGAGAGTGACAAAAAAGGGAGCATTCTATGCATATTTACACGCAAACCATCTCCAAGAGTCTTTTTTTGGGTGAGAACCATCAATAAACAGGTTTTCACTTGTGGATATTTTTTTAAAACCCTTTTTCTTTCTTTTTTTTTAATGCCCCCAAGGCTTTCCTAAATTTGATCCTAAATCACTTTGCCCATCTAGTCTGCGTCCCCTGCCCTGACCCTAAAGCAGCCAGATTCCCACTCACTTCTACGAGAAGCACCCCGCCCTCTATCCGGCCGTGAGACTGGACTTGGCCAGCAGCCTTCACGCCTAAGCCCCCTCTTCAGAAAACAGGCTTCTGTCCCTCTCAGTAAGTGCTTAACGAGCACCTGAGGTTCCAGTTGGGGGCCTGACCCCACTGAGATGTCGCTGTCTCAGAGCAGCAGGGTGGCGGGACTCTCGGGCCCTTCAGTTGGAAGATGACTTTAGCTGGACCTCTGACCACAGGACACCGCTCCAACCGCACAACTCCAACGGCAGACACAGGAGAACTGGGGCCCCACCAAGCACGAGGCCGATGAACTTCTGCTCAATGACTGGCCACCCTGCGTGGACACTTCATCCTGCCCAGATCCACCGGCTGTTTTGTCCACACGTCCCTGGCCTGGAGTCGCTGCACGGCCTGCACACTCTGGACTGACACTCTGTCTAGGTACAATGTGAGGCCCGCAGGTCAGCTGAGCGTGACTCATTCAATCCCCTTCCTGGGCTAGGCCATTCTGCAGACATTACCGGAGTTGCTAAGCTGGGCCAGGAGCCTGTCCACGCTCACAGCCAAGGCCTTCCCTTGGTGGCCAAATTGGACTCCCACAACCAGCCACCAGAAGTCCGAGACGAGTTCTAACCTCACGTGCTTCCTGTCTGTAATTCCTCCGAAACTCAAACATGAAATGGTCTTGCCCCGCCTGGAATCTGCCACCTGCTGTCTCAGATGGGTGCCCAGTAACCTCTACACGGGGGTGCACCCCTGGGGACCTGCTTGGGAAGCCCAGGGAGCGAGGAGGTGTCCCCTCTCCTACAGCGCACGAGGGACCAGCACCAAACTAAAGAACATTTTATTTTTAATAAAATAGCGGAGCGTGAAAAATATGTATTACACATATGCACGAGCAGAATCACTCTTGCCTGGGGCGGTGGGAGAATAAGCCAGACCATTTGTCCGGTGCTTCTAGATCCACTCACAGTCACCATTTGTTTAACAATATAAAGAGTCAGTAAGCCCTTTGGGTGCTTTTGAATGATCTCGCTGCCCTCCCCACTCCCTTCCACAAATCAGTCCAAACGCATAACATTGGCTTGGTTTCCATTAAAAAGCCACAAAATGTAACACTAAGGAGCTTGAGGGCTGGGCCCCTGGCTCTTTTGTTAGGAGACTCCTTTTGTTGTCTTTATATACAGCAAACTACTCGTTTCTCTCTCTTTTTTTTTTATTTTCACGGAAAGAGAAAAAAAAAAATTGTATTGCACGTCGTTTGCACTTACAAACGTTAGGTTTGCTGGAAGTTTCTGTCTTGGAGAGAGACCACTGGTGAAAGCTAGAGGCTGGACTCTATTTTAAGTGACTCCAAATCCACTGGCGTGTGCAGAGCTGTCAGGCTCCCTCTTCCTGTTTGCTCAGAAGTTGCCGGCTCCGAGGCAGCCTTCCTGAGGGTGGGCCCCTGGGGTGGCTCTCCCTCCGGCCGCGGAGGGACTGTCCCCGCCCGCCCCTCTCCTCTCTCTCCCTCTCTCTCTCTCTCTCCACCCCCCTCTCTTCCCCCCTCCGCTACCCAGCAGAGGCCTTTTTAATTTGCAAAGCAGCTCTCTCTTCTCTGATTTGTAAATGGATAGCAAAGCCAACTCAAACACACACGGATGTATATTTACGGAAGGTTCTAAACAAAAGTTTTCTTCTGAGGGCTGAATCAACTACTTTACCACAAATTAGTCACACAAGAGGCTACTTACCAGGGGAACGCTCTCCCCGAAAACCAAACAAAAACCTTTCAGTACTTTTTTTTTTCTTTTTTTAAACTTTCAGTGTATCACAGCATCCTGCATTTCAGGGTAAAAACTTTTTTATTTTTTTTCTATTATTTAAAAAAAAAACAAACAAAAACACCAAACCAACCGACCGACCGAGAAGAGCTCCACGCCTGGCTCTGCCCGCCAGGGTGTCCTGTCTGGGGACGTCCCCCGCGCTGGCCTCCCCCTCCAGCCCGCTCACACACAGGTGGGCGACGGGGCGGGGATTTCGTATTTCCCCGGGTGCGTTTTCTGGGGATGCTGGGCTTTTTTGTAAATCCCGCTGTGGGTGAGGACGCTGGCGGGTTTCCTCCGGCTCTTCTTCTTGAACCTGCGGCTGCAGACGTGCTGCCAGGACTGCAGCGTCTTGGACGTCCAGACCCACATGCCGCTGGTGATGCCCACCACCAGCAGCATGAAGATCTTCACGAGGAAGACCTCCACGGCCGGGATGGACGCCGCCATCAGGCAGTCCACCGTCTTGGTCTGGTTGTTCACGCGGCACTTGTGCTGCGTGGCCAGCACTTTCCAGTACTCCATGTTGAGGCGCTCGTAGAAGTAGCAGGCGATGGCGCAGGTGGCCGGCACCGTGTACAGCACGGAGAACAGTCCGATCCTCGCCATGAGCTTCTCCAGCTTGTCCGTGTTCTCCCCGCCCGTCTTCATCACCCTGCGGATGTGGAAGAGGGCCGCGAAGCCCGAGAGGATGAACGACGTGCCCAGGATGAGGTAACAGGCCAGGGGGACGAGCACGAAGCCCGTGAGCGCGTTCACGTCCATGCTGCCCACGTAGCAGACGCCGGTGAGCTCGTCGCCCGCCACCCTGCGCATGACCAGGATCAGGATGGTTTTCACCGCGGGGATGGCCCAGGCTGCCAGGTGGAAGTAGCTGCTGTTGGCCTCGATGGCCTCGTGGCCCCACTTCTTGCCCGCAGCCAGGAACCAGGTGAGCGTGAGAATCACCCACCAGAGCGAGCTGGCCATGCCGAAGTAGTAGAGGACCAGGAAGACCAGCGTGCAGCCCGTGCTCTCCAGGCCCTCCTGGATGACGTAGAGCTGCCCGCTGTCGCGGTCGCAGGCGATGCTCTCGGCGCCGGCGAAGAGGCGGATGATGTAGCCCAGCGAGGACACGCAGTAGCACATGGACAGGAAGATGATGGGGCGCTCGGGGTAGCGGAAGCGGTCGGGGTCGATGAGGAAGGTGAGGACGGTGAAGGCGCTGGAGAAGAAGCACAGCGCGGACCACACGGCCAGCCAGACCACGGCGAAGCGCTTGTCGTCGCGGCTCCAGTACACGTCCACGCCGGGCGTGCACAGCGGCGCGCACGACGCGCTCTTCTCCACGTGGTGGAACTTGCCGGGGTTGGCGCAGCCGGCGCGCCCCGCGCCCCCCTCCTTCAGCTGGTGCTCCTGCGCGCCCGGGGGCCGCTGCGGGCGCAGGAGCGGCGGGAACAAGCCGGAGCCGCGCGCCGGCTCGTCCGAGCCGTTGTTGGGCGCCTCCATGCACAGGTAGTTGGGGTCGTTCTTGTTGGGGAGTTTGCTGCAGTCCAGCGAGTCGGGCCACTTGAAGTTGAACTGCTCCATGATCGGGGAGCACTTGAGCCGGGCCTGCTCGCACATGACCCGGCAGGCGGGGATGGGCGTGGAGACCTGCTCGGTGCACATGGGCGCGTAGAGCGAGCACAGGAAGAAGCGGAGGTGGCCGTGGCAGCCGTACTCCACCAGCGGCGCGAACTCGTGCAGCTGGATGGCGGCCTCGCGCTGGTTCTCGTGGCCCATGAGGTTGGGCATGCGGGTCATGTTGTAGCCGATGTCCTTGCACATGGGGATCTCGATGGGCTGGCACTTGCCGTCTCCCGGACGCTCCATGTCCATGGAGCTGATGGCGGCGCACGCCCCCATCACCTGCAGGACCAGCCACAGGCGGGGGCCCGGGCGCGGCATGGTGGCGGTGGAG